TATATATATATTTTAATTATTTTAATCTATAGCATACTTATAAAAAGTGGAATTTAAAATTTAGTCATAAGTCATGTTTAAGAAAGGCATGAAAAATTTCGGTAATGATTAGAAAATTACAACCTTTCATTACTTATCCATATTAATAAGAACATATATCTAATTCGTTTTTCTTTCTCTAAGTGTATATCAGTTGTATTCAATATAAAAAAGAAAAGTAGCTATTTGAAATTAAACAAGTTTCTATTTATTGAACTAAACAGCAAACTAACAAATGAGTTGGTATTTTAGGACTTAAGAATGTTGTAAAATATTAATATATATTTTCAGTTTTGGTTTTAGCTCTTTGTTAAAATTTCACTGATTCCATTACTAATTATATTAATTAAATATTTACTTTTCGGGTTTATCTTAAGTATAGAACTTTATGTAATTTTTTTTAAGGACTCTCTTTAGTCAATAAGACACGGAAAATTGAAACTCATGAATTGAACCCAACTCTCCAAAGTCTAGCAAAATTACTGTTATTTAAAATTTATTGTTGCATTATAACTAAATTTTAAAATTTATTTGGTTGATATGAAAGAAAGAAATTAGAAATATAAGTGACTTGTATCTTAATTTAAGATACATTTAATCTCTGATGCTGTCTTTGTGGACAATTTTATAGACACTGTCTATATCGATTTTGGCACATACAATATTCGATTTATTGGAAAGGTGAAAATTCATTACTATCTTTTCCCAATTCAAACTCTTTCTGTCCCATTGATCTGGTAATATATTTTATTTCTTTCAAGAGTATGTTGGGAAAGTTAAAAATAATGCATGTAAAATAAATGTTGCTGCATATAAAATAAATATTATGATCTACAATTTATTAATAGGTTTTAAGTAATTATTTACTTAAATTATAAATTTCATGAATTAAAACTCTTTCTATTTTTATAGAATTATTGTAATTAAAAATTTACAATCATACAGTGCAAATATTAATGTAGTTACAATTTAATTTTATATGTTTTGTGCAATGAATAGCAATTTTAATTTCTTTCTTACAAAGCTTCTGAATCATTTTCATAAATAACACTTATAAACCTTAAATATGACATAATTATCTAATTTTATGAATGAAAAACAATAGTTTCTTATAAGTTTTTTTCCCCTCATTTGGCACTTGAAATTCAAACAAGACAAAAAGAAATTGCTGTGATGGTGTTTCAAGACTTTGATGTAGATATATGTTAATATTGAGAACTTAGTATTCATTTAGCTATCTTCTGCATCAAACAGGTTCTAACTATAAAAATAATAATTTTTTCTTGAATTGCAGCAAATTGTATTGATGTATAGTGTCTTTTTTAGAAATATAAAGCTAAATTTCATTGAGAAAATAGAATATTTCTTGTTAAAAGTTGTTTGTAATTGATGTTAAAATTCATTAAATTTAATTTACTTCCCTTTACATTTCAGCTTAATATTAAAGTTAGTGAATTAGAGAACAAAAAGCAATTCAAGTGCACGTGGGTGAATAGCAAACTGAAAGAAGAGGTAATCTATGCTTTATTTTTGTTTACAAATAAGCTAATGATTTAAATCTTACCTTAAAAACCTTAGTATGAATAAATATATACTTATGAAATTCTTTTTTCTGCTTCTACATTTCTGTCAATATCAGTTGCTAATTTTACCTGTTATTAATACTTTTTTCATGGGTTTGCTTTGTTCTAATTTTAAGCATACAGAAAAACATTAATCAAGCATCATTTTTATGAAATTTCCTTAAAATTTTTTTTTTTTTTTTAAATTTTCTTAGAAAGAGTGTGCTACCTAACAGTGGACAGAATTACTCATATCCTTATATAAAATTTATTTTAATTTGAAATTTATTGGCTCATAATTCAACAATTTTTTGCATTAAAAAAATTTGATTATGTAACTTTTTCTTTAACCTTTAGATATATTGTTATGTAAAAAGACATGAGATCAAAGAAGAAAAAAACCTTAGTTCAATTTTATTTCTAGATAATTCTATCTAGAAGTGAAAGTGAAGAAAATTTCTTTAAAATTATTATCTTAGGTTTTGAAAAAAGTATATATTTTTTTACGTAGTTTATTTTCGCTCCTGGCCGATCAAGCCTGATAAGAGGAATTTCTAAAGGCTTTTTCTTTGAAAGTTATACTTTGATTAACTTAAAAACTTAAGTAAAACATTCATGTATGCATTTCCTTTTTTCCTTCCTCTTAAACATTAATTTCATAAAAATATTTGATTTTTTTTTTTAAATTTGGAAGGCTAAAAATACTCAAAAAATGAAAATCAGATGGATAACATAAAATTTCTAATAAAATAAGATGTTAAATGTGATATTGTTCATCAATTGTATTCTCTCTACCTTTATTAATCATTATTTGTTTAATGCATTTACTTTTACCTTTATTTTGATTTCCATTTTTAACATATTTATTTTTATTGCTTCTTTTCTATATCGGCTATTTGCTAAGCCCTTTATTTGTATTTCTTCCGGGAGTTTGCATCAAAGTCTCCAAGAATATTCTGGAAATAAACCTAAACTATGGTTCTAAAATTCTTGAGATATTTCTTTACCAACACTTTCTAAATTTTATCTGTAATTATGCTTCTTGCATAGAATGGAAAAGATAAATAAATGTGATATTCTAAGCCAGTTTTAAAAAAAATGGCTGCATTTATTTTTTAAAAATTTGATGAAATAATTTTTGACTACATACATAAAGTTTCTGATGTAAGAAGTTTGATATTTTGCTAATTATAGTAGTGCTATTATTATTGAAATTCTGTGCAATGGTTTTAATGTAATAAATATAATTTATTTAATTGACCTGATTTCTCTTTTAATTTTAATTACTTCCATGATGTAATTTTTTATTACTTTTGCAAAATTTTTTGTGCAGTCTTCATTGAACTTTGATATGTTTAGCTGTTTCATAAATTGAAAGACAAAAACCATAATTACCTGTGATGCTTAATTATATTAATAAGATTTTTATGGCTTATTGTGGTAATAAGTTTTTTAGCACCTTTTTTTTTTATTTCAAATCGTTTTCTAAATCAGGGATGAGATTTTTCCGCTTTTTTCACTTTTATCTCTTGAATTTCAGCTGTTTATCAAAAATTCAGATTTTTCTAAAATTTTCACTTTTTTTAATAAGTATTCCGTTTTTTCAGAAAATTCATCATTTTCAAAGAGAAACAGAAAATTCAAACTACATAGCTACCAATCCTTTCTCATTTTTACTTATTTTAGCTATTTTCTCCCCTTTTACTCGCAGCAGATAAGATTTTCCGAATTTTTTACCTGCCCTCCAGATAGATCCGATTTTTGTAGTTCAAACAACGCTGCTTCTGACAAGCTTTTTAGAGGTCCCAAGCCTGGAATCTGCTAATATCTCGATCTTATTCTCACGATTTTAATATCAAACATAGCTTTTCATATTTGCGTGTTGCGATTCTTATTCATGCGATTTTAATATTGTATGTTGCAATTCTTATTTACGAGATTTAAAAATCCGATGTTGTGATTCGTATTTATGCCTTTTTAAAAACCTGTGTAGCGATTCGTATTCACGTAAGTTTAAAATTCAATGTCTTGATTTGCTCATGCGGTTTATAATATCAAACATTGATTTTCTTATTTATACATGATTTTAAAATGAGGCATTCACGCATTCTAAAAATTCATAATTCTTATTTATGCAATCTAAAAATTATGCATCATGATTCGTATTTACGCGATCTAAAAATTATGAATTGTGATTTGTATTTACGCGTTTTAAAAATTCTATATCCCGGTTTGTATTTTCTCATTTTCAAAATCGTATATCTAGTTTCATATTCATGTGATTTCGAAATCCATAATTGTTATTCATATTCACGTAATTTTATGATCAACTATCGTGATTCTTGTAAGAAGTAAATTTTTAAAAAAAATTAGTTACTATAAAGGTGACCATTTTTCTAACGACGATTATTAGTATATGTAAGTGACAACATCAGAGAAACTGGAAGGGAATATATTCAAAACTTACATTCTGTGCTTACAAAGAAAAAATAGGATTTGTCACAAAATGTTTGAAGATGGACTAACGACTAAATATAGCAAACATAAAAGATATAGCAAACAAAAGCAATCACTTAAAAAGGGATTTAATTAAAAAAAAATTTTTGGGGAAAAAGAGTTAATTAACTCATCATCAAAATTTTATTTATAATTGCTGTTATTTATGCTATAAAATGCAAAATTCTTATCAAATAAAAAACAATTATCTAAACAGTTGCTGATTGTCATGTAATTTTTCAAACTAAAATAGCAATTTTTGTATGTTAAGGAGTTACTATATATTTCTACTTCACTGTTATTGATATGTTTCAGAGGGCTCTAGTTAGATTAGACTATAATATGAACATAATGATTCGGTCCATTGTTAAAGTTTTTTTTCCCAATATAATTTAAAAAGTAATATTACTGATATATTTGCTATAAATCACATAACAGTATTTATTAAAAGAAATGAAATATTAATGTATATTCTCAGTAGTTTTAATTTGCTAAACCAGGTAGTTTTTCAAGTAATAATTGTCTCTTATGTGAACTGAGGAAAAATATAATTTCCAGCTTTATTTTTTCAATTGGTAATTTTTATTTTCACTAAATGTTAAGTATCAATGTAATCATTTATATAATAATAGATTAGTACACAATTATATGTCAACACATTATTTATTACCTTCAACTGTCTGGAATTTATTATTAAAGGGTTGCGCTTTGCGTAAAATTTACTATCGTGGAAATTCAGGTTTTTTGGCTATTCTCATCCCTGCTAAATAATAAAATAAATTTGCTACCATTTATTGTTAAATAAACAAATATTGTAAAAAAAAATTATAAATTTTTAAAATCTGAACTTTCCTTCTTGTGTTTGTTTTAGAAAGAACTAGTTTTGTATCCACCCAAAAATGGTACAGTTGCTGATCTATTGGAAGAAGCCAAAAAACAAGTAGAACTCTCAGAAAATGGCTCTGGGAGACTCAGGTATGAACTTAAAATTATTTTTATCTTAGAAGAAAAACACTAAATGACATTTTAAAAACCCATTTCTGTTTGTTATAAGTTTCTATTTAAAGTTATTTGTTTTTTCTCTCTCTAGGTTATTAGATATAATTAGTTATAAAATATTTTCTGTATTACGAGAAGATATGACTTTAGAATCATTAACTAATGCAAATACGAAATGCTTAAGAATAGAAGAGATACCAGCTGATGAAATTGGTCTTGCTGAAGATGAATTATTGATACCTGTTGCTCATTACCAAAAGGTAAGATACCCATTTAATGACGTGGGTGATATTCACAAATTGTATCAAAAGTTTTAAACATTGTTATTTAATTCATTATTGATACCTTGTCTTATATTCAATCTAAATCCTTTCTTAAAATTTTGATTTCTCCAGTTAAATGAGTATGATTTAAATTACATAATTTACATTTGGTATTTTTATTCAGTTTAAAATACCCAATTTGTAATGAATGTTAGTCATAAAATTATATTACATAGTAGTAGACATTTTCTTATATGCAAACTTTATGTGTGCAGATATTATTCTTGCTTGATATTTTTATATAAGTTTGTTCTGCAATAGTTTGATTTTTGATTATTTTCTTAAATATGAAATATTTTTGTAAATTGTAGGAAGTATTTTCATCGTTTGGAGTTCCTTTTCTTCTAAAAATAAAACATGTAAGTATTCTCATATTTAATTTAAATTAATAGTTATAGTAATTAAAAGAATTCTATCAATAGTTGTGTCTGTGCATATTTTTCATAAAAATTCAATTTAATCTCAATCTAAAATAATAGATAGCAATATATATCTTAAATATTGCTTTTTGTCCAGCTGCAATCTGATCTGGAGTTTTGTTTAATACTATCCTGAATTACTAAGAAAGTTTATTCACCTATAAAGTTGAAACTCAGCTTGATTATACACTTCAGTTGTATTAAAAGTTTGTATTAAAAGTTTGTATTTATGATATTTTAAAATGTTAAATACTTGTTTGTTACAAAATAAGTTGGTATTAATTATGTACTGTTTTTCACCTTTTATATAAATATTTATATTTTTATCTATCTTAATTTTTTTCAGGGAGAGCCTTTTTCTAAAGTAAAAGAAAGGATACAAAAGAAATTAGAAGTTCCTGATAAAGAATTTGAAAGGGTAACATTTTAAATAGTAATTATTGTTATATTACTGATGTACTGCCTCCTTCAAACTCACTGAAAATTTTGATTTCTTTTTTCAGTATAAATTTGCTATCATTGTGATGGGTAGGCAGCAGCCCATTCAAGATGATGTAGACTCAATAAATTTACCCGATTTTATACCTCATCCTCAGAGTGGTAAGTTAAAAAAAATATATAAATATATAGTTCAGGAATGATTGTATTCTGGATATACCTCAGAATTCCGGGTTCTTCATATCATCCTTTCGTGTCTAGGAACAGGATGTGATTTTTTTTTTTTTTGTGAGTGTGTGCAAAATTCCCGCATCTCAAGACTATTAGTTCGCGGACTTCTGCGAATCAAAAACTTCTAATCCAACAGAAGTTTTATGGAGTTCCTCAATATAAAATTTTTTAGGCTTTTGCTAAATCTGATTAACGAGGTATTTACGCACATATGATTCTTCCTCCAATTGGCGACGATCCACCAATTTGATTCCTTTGGTTTGACAGATTTATGCATTTTGGATATTTGGAACTGTGCCTGAATCCGTTTATGTCGTGATGCATAATCGCACAATTTTATATATCAAACAACGGTCGGTTTTCGTATTTACCTGGTTTAAAAGATATGCGTTTTGATACGTGATGACATGATTTAAAAGTCGTGCATCACAGTTCGTATTCAAATCAAATTTTGCAATCTATATTTACGTGTTTTTCAAATATCGTGATTTGTATTAACGCAAGTTTATAATCCAAGGTTTTGATTTTATTCACGCATTCTATAATTTCAATATCATGATTTTTAAGTCCAATAGCGTAATTCAAATTCAATATTCTTAAAAGCTAAATTGTTTCTTAAAATAGTTACCATAAAGGTGTGATATACTTCATTAGTAGATAATTTCATTATGAATCTTAGTTTTAAAAAAATATGAAACATGTATGGTATATAGATTGATATAGAGTTTTTGCACATGAAATTTTCAGGGTTTTTAAATTTGTGTAACAATCACCCCTGATAGTTGTAATTGCTATAAATTAAAATTGAATTAATATTTGATATTCTACTTCCCTAAAATTTGGTCATGCAACTTTGGGGAAATGATCAAATCTCGAAACCTATACCCAAAGTTAAAACCAAAAACAAAGCACAATTCAACCACAATGCCAAATGAGACTCTTCACAGAAACTAAAAAATTTTATTGAAAATATTTTTTCTGTAAGTCTACCTATCACACTAAAAAGTATTTCCACAAATATAGTGTTAATTGTCCTTAAGGAGCAACTTCTATTACTATTAGTTATTTTCAATGATCCCAGGTTGTTTCAAGTGTGACCAAGACATTTTATCACTGATAAATTTATTTACTCTAGTTGTACTCTGATATTTGCATATGAACGTAATACATATAAATTGGGTGAATCGTTATTCACATGTTAAAGGAGTTTTTTTTATTTTCAGAGAATAATTTTTAAGCATTACCTTTGTGTTTTATTAGCAGTTTAAAAAGAATGAACATTAAATATATTGGTGTTTTTTTTTTTTTTTTCATTAGTAGAAACTAACATTCTACTATAATTCTATTATATATTTTTCTTAATATGTGTTTTTAAATGATCAAACTGTTAACTTATGTCCTAAAAATTGTCCCTTGATATAACTATCTTTATATTTTTTTAAAGAATCTGAAAAATATTGTAACAAGTTTTAATGTAGTAAAAGTGGAGCAGAGTATACCAATAAGGAATTTTTAAGGATTACTTATGAATGCTCTGTTGTAATATCAAGAAATTATTACTTGTGTGTTCTTACATTATTTAAAAGCTTCTTACGAGTTTTTTGTTATGTCACATTTTTTATGTGATCTGTAAAATGTGTGTGAGAATTTTTAAATGTATAGAATAAATAAATTCAATCAGCTTTTCTTCTTACTTAATTAAAGAATTTGCTAATATTTTTTTTGAATGAAAGATTTTGTTTTTTTATACTTACGAATAATATTGCATTTTATGAACTTGATACATTCTATGTTCCATTGCAGGTAATGCAGTTCAGCCAAAACCCTGGTTAGGATTAGAACATGTAAATAAAGCTCCAAAGCGATCAAGATATAATTACTTGGAAAAGGCAATCAAAATTCATAACTGACAGTGGCATTGTAATTATTTAGAATCATTATTGTAAGTATAGAATATCTATTGCAAAAACTTTAATCTAAGTTTAAAAAAATTATTTTTAAATTAATTTATATAAATATACTAAGAGTTTGTAATAACCACAATTTACAATAGCTGGTGGAAAAGTTTTGTTTTAATCGTTAAAAGTTTTTCATTTTATCCCTACGGTATTGTATTTTCTTCCACACTCTTAAACTACAACTATGACATAGCAGTTAATCTCAATCAAGTTAGTAGCAAAAATTTGTCAAATCTCTGATTTCATTTTTAACATTGAATATAGAGTTTAGTAATTAATTGTCACAAATAAAAGCAATGGGATGTGTTAGATATGTAGTGAACAAAAAGTACATTCCTTTGAAATGTGCAGTGATATTCCTAAAAACAGCAGAATTACAAGAGTCTAAAATAGCAAGAATTTTTCTGATTGTAACAAGGAAATGAGTGAAATGCTTGTTTATCCCTTTTCTGTATTGATACCAAAAATGAATTAAAATATGTTTCATTTTACCTTTTTTTTATGTTGCTCTTTTTGACCTATTACATGAAAGATGTATTTGCATTAAAGAAAAAAACTGTTGTTGAAATAAGTTATATTGGTGGTTTTTTGAACATTAAATAATAGAAATTGTTTAATGTTCTTTTGAATTTTATACATAAAAATTATTTCACTCTGGTAATAGAAAATCTATTTCCTTAGCTGTTAGTAGGCTAGATTTTACTATAGATTAAACTTTTAAAAGTATCTTTGTTTGTTGATATTATAATAGAGAAATCATACTTATTCTTTATCTTATCTGCCAACACATGCACTATAAGAAGTTTATTCTAATGATAGCGAAATGAAAACTTCTACTATAACTGTAAGCAGAAATGTCTTAAATTTTATCAGCACCTAAAACTTCATCAATGATTAGCAAAGAATTTATGTATCTTTAAATAAAAGAGTAAAATATCAAAGCTACCTCTTTAAATATAAAAATAAAAAATTTCTAATGAAGTAGGAAAATTTGGCAACTATGGTATTTATAACTAATACTTCTTTAGAGCCTCTCCTGATTCTTCTTTGCAGGATTTCTAATTGTTTTTTACAGGATTAGTTTACAGGATGATCTAATTGCAGGAGCTTATTTATGATTCTGTCAAATTTAGAATTTTATTCTGCAAAATGGAATTTTTCACCTCCCTAAGATATGTTTAAGTGGACAAACTCTGAATTACACTTTACTAGTTATGAAAAAACTACCATATTAGCGTCTTATTGTTGATTAATTCATGGTGTCTGTGTAGATAGGTTTGTTTTATTATGGGAACTCTAATGTTTTCTTGTTTTTAAGCTATCCTTATTTGTAAATCATTGGAGTTATAAAAATTATTTTTAGTCGAGATCATTATACTTTTACTGCCCTAACAAAAAATAAGATTTCATCCTGTATTAGCACTGTTCTATTTCGGCTACCTCTGCTCTTCGGGTAAAATTGACCTTAGCAGCAAAATAACTTTGGACCAATATTCACGATTCTTGGCTCAATAAGGGTTCAAAGGTCCATTATTTTCGAATATTGGCCTTGTATAGAATTGTCAGATTCAGCCAATATTTCCATTATTCAGCCAATTTTGAGCCCAACTAGTGCCAAGGTAAAATTGTTGTTAGGCAGGTACCCCCTTGATATGTGTCTATGCAGAGCCCGAGAAAGCTGCAGTGACAGCAGAAGACAAATACATCCAAGGCTGAACAAAAGTTTTCAAGCTCTGGGTCAAAATTTATTGCAGGCTCTTTCTTTAAAGCACAAAGCCTTATTTTCATATGTTGTAGAATTATTGAAGGCTTTTTATATAAAATTGTATTTTTTATATTGATAAAAGGAAATTTTCTGCAGTTTCTTTTAAGAAAAAAAAGAAAAAGTACTAATCAATTATATTTTGGTAAGGAATTTTGATGAGGCCTTCAGCAATACCATGCCCCGGAACAATTGTCCCTCCCTCACCCCCCTCGAGTATGGCCTTGCCTACATCTCATGTAAAGCCTCATATATAATAGTCAGCCACGTTTTCACTATTCTAGTATTTCTAGGAATTGATATTTCGGGAGAATCACTGCTTGATCTAAGAGTTCTCTTGTCTTCTGGATTGGTTCAAAATTACAAGGCTACGGAGTTGAACATCAGTAGTCATAAACCCAGAAATTGGGTCAGCTGTTCAACGACAGATATAAAATAAAAAACTTTGTACCCAATATTACCTTACTAGTGTGGTAAGTCTTTTTCTAGAAAAAAAAATTCATTTATAAAAAAATTAATGCATCAATGACTTTTGAGGAGTGATGTATTGTACAGGCCTAAGCAATGAATATCTTGAATAAATCTGAGTTTCTAGGTTGAACTGTTTAGCTCTTAAAAGCTTTTGAATCTTAGCTACCCAATATTACCCCACTTTCCCCATTATAATTTTCATTAACTAAAATAATGCTTAGGACAGATTCATTAACAAAACATTTCAATTTTCATCTGTTATGTGCTTTTTTTCCGTGTTAACTATTTATTTTTATTACATAGTATTTTTTTTCCCCTTCAGGCAACAGCTTTTTCCAGTTATGCAGCTGTTTCGAGCTGTATTTTTCTGCTGGTCAAGTGTGCATTCAGTCTTTCATCATTGTACAAACATTTTGCAGTCTGCGTTCCTTCCCACATTTTGTAGTGTATGACAAGTTTTCTCCAAAATAAAGTTATTTGTATGAGATTGAAACAAGTTATGCTGTTTAAAATGATTGAATTACAGACAATTATACGTTAGACATTCAGGGGCCTTTGTTTATTCAGAGCTGTATATGTCTAGTGTTGTATGTGGCAACATAATTGTCCAGGAACTATGCCCATTGCACTGTTAAACTTTTATATAAATAAATAAATAAATTAAAATCACTTATTGAGGAATTTTCTTGCCTGGTAATAAAAGGTTGCAGCTGGCCAAGTTTTCATCCAACGTTGGCACTTTGTACGACTGGAACTGCACTTCAATTTCTACTGTTAATATACATACTCGTATGTATACGAGCATGGCTCAAATTAGGTGTTAAATAAATAACCTTAAAAATATTTCAACTCTATTTTCTCAACAAGAACTTCCGACTATGATTTTAAGAACAATGCAATGGCTGTCGATGAAGCTATCCTCCGATTGGACAACAGGATGGGCAGTTTAGCAGAATTATAGTACCAGTGGTTGTAACTGTAACTGTTGATATTTGATCACCTGCTTTATTCCTGAACGTGGTGTACAAATTTAAGGAAAAATAATTTTAAAGAAAAATGGCTGCTGCTGCTGCAAAGATAAAACTGAGACTGTTTATTAAGATTTGTGTGTTTTAAGGACTTGAATTGCCTTTCTAGCGTGTTAATTTATTTTTGCTTTAATTTTAGCTTTTTTCCCTTGATGCAAGCCTTTTGTACTTTGTGTTGAGTTTGAAAATAATACTTTTTTTTTTTATTTAAGAAATTAAATATGAGTAACAACATAATTCATGTTTTCTTTTTTAAATTAACTTTTATTGATATGATTTTTTATTGTAAAAATTTGAAGAAAATTACTTTGTTAATTAATATTGGAGTGCTTTAATTTCCATTGCAAATTTTAAAAAAAGTGCAGAAAATTGTATTATTTTATAAATTTTACATTATTTTTACTAATTATTGCTTGATGTGTGATTATTGTAATTTCTTGAAATTGTTAAAAGTTTAGAGTTTTGATCACTATGCAAATAAAAGTGAGGTTATTTTAGATGTCCTCACTTGATCTGTGATGATATTGATGGAAATATTATATTGGCTTGTTTTCACCTACAAAGTGTCTTAAAATTTATAGGAGTTACTAATTTTCAAAACTATGATGACAAGTTTTTTATCATGTGTTTTTAATAATTTTCATGATTTGCATTCCATGCAGATTATTTTCTATATACTGTTTACTATTTTCAGAATGCATGGTTTGTAATTTGTATGTTTTCTTTTTTTTCTTTCGTTCCTTCAAAATTCATTTTTTCAGTTCTAAGTCCACACACAGTGTCAATAAAAGTAATTCAAAATTTTGTTCCTTCCTTTCTTTTTCACTATTTTGCATCTCAACCTTGCATTTCAACCATATAACACTCATATGATTATCGAATGAATATTATTTTTGAAAGGGAAACAAGTCCACTTGGAGCTAAAAATCGTTAATTTCTTAAGATTTTAATATTCATTACTGCATTTTAAATTTTAATTAAATTATAAATTTAAATGCAAACATCAAAATTGGTTAACCTTTGCCAATATTTTTAAATTCAAACTCTAACCCTTCAATATCTTGATATAGGAAAACTGAACTTATTTCACTTTCAAAAATAGCAGCCCAAATATAAGTCAAACTTAACCACTAAAGAAAATATGTTTAAAATTTATTATTTTTAACCTTTAACACACTTTAAGTGCATAATAAACTGCTATAATGTTATATTTATTAATAACTTTTTAGTTCAGTTGGCTCATTTTAGATATTATAAAATGAGAGTAAAATTATTTTAAATTAACTTAAATGTAATATATATTCAGAATTTAAAAAAAGAAAACTAATGGCTGCCACTGTAAGTGACTAATTCCAATGTACAGTGTGAGAATAGAAATTAGACTGATCCATAAGAGAGTGTCTGCTTGTTGAAACTACCTGTACAGTGCGACCCCAAAAAAGTTACTCCGGGTGTATTAAAGTTATTCTATAGATCAAAAGTTATCCTGGGTGACCCCTTTTGGGGGGTCGGCCGGAATAACTTTTGAACTATTGATCGGATCTTTATGTTAGAGGACTCAATATTAATAGTTCGAGGTAGTGTCCTCAAATATGCTAATTACTGCAGACGATACTTTAAGTTACGAAATGAGACAAAAAAAAGTTACTTCCTTTTTTTCCCAATGAATTTGGATTTCTGTCCTCCAAAATATAGGAGGTAGTCGCAATCTGCGAAATATAGTTCCCATAGCTTGGTAAGGAGAGCAATCCAAAGTGAGAATTCCTTAATGTTAATTTTACTTTTTGCATATTTCGCCATATCCAGAACTTTTTAAGCGAATTGAAAAAAATTTGCACACCCAGTTATAAAATTCTTTTTTCCAGGAATAATTCCATGTCCAAAATAAATTTTAGTAAGTATTTATTATTTTATCTAATAATAGTAAGAAAAAAATTTTTAATTTTTAAAAATCGAATTTTAAATATTAGTCATTTTTAAATTTCGATTTCTCAGGAACTATTCAACCGATTTCATCCAAATTTTGCCATGTAAAATTCTATACTTTAAAATAGCGTAAAAAATTGTATACCTGACAGTTCAAAAAGGTTTCAACTATTATTTAATAAAATAATCATAAATGTTTCTAAAATTTATTTTTTTGCATCTTTGGAAAAACTAATTTTGTGGAGAAAAAAATTTTTCAATTCGCTTAAAAAGTTCTCGAGTTATGGCAAAGTACGCATTATCATTAAGGGGTCCCAAACTTTCGATTGCTCTCCAGACCAAACCATGGGGACAACATTTCTCAAATTGCAGCTACCCCATTATACTTTGGGTGTCTGAAATCTGAATCCATTGAGAGAAAAGAAAAAGGTATATTTATTCAGAGAAAGTACGTTTTGGGGTCTGATTTCCTAACTAATTAACATATTCGATGTCTCCCCCTCGAACCATTAAGTTTGAGTATTACAGAGTGAAGATCCGATCATTAGATCAAAAGTTATTCATAGTGTTTTTTTTTTTTTTTTTTTTTTTCTTNCTCTCTTTTGGGCACTGTACATTGCTTTTACAGATAGATTGGTTGCTGTACTACTTTGGGCCTCATTTTTTGATTTGCCCTGGCTACTAAAAGACATTCTCACTTGAATTAGCGTTACAGATGTTAGAAAAATGCTGGGAATCTTCTGACGTATACATGATTCACTCAAACTCCTATGTAAAGCATGAATTGCAGCTGGTGGTCCTTCATTTAAGCATCAGTTGTTCCTTTCTATGATAAGTTTTTTTTTCTTCCTTTACCATTCATTTTTATGGCGTTCTCCATTTTCTCTTATACTACGTAATACTGCTGATACAGAGCGATTTGTTGAGAACTGATTTTGAGCTAGATTCCACCTTCACAAATTCAATTTGTTCTGAAAATATACAAGACTAAAGTAGCTAAAAACTATTTGGTAAAATGAGCATTTCAAAATCTAATCGGAGATGGAATGCTATTCAGATGATTTTTATCCCAACCATTAATTTAACTGCATTGGAGAAAGCAAAGGCCCACCCCTGGTTGATGTGCCAATAATGACGATGCTTTTGATGGCAAAACTCTGCCGAATTCGATATTAATAACTTACAAGATATTCTCCTTTACTTGAATTTATTTTGAACTAATATGGATGATATCAACTTTCAATTTTATTGCTGCTTTTAATATAAGAACTTAAAACGTTATAGAATTAGAAGTAGCGTATGACTTTTGTGCTAATAAATCTGACTGGGCAATAATACCAAAATATAAACACTGTTTATAAATAATTTAAAATTAAACAGAAGAAAATGCTAAAAATTAAAGATAAGAATTTTAATAAATGTTAACAGCAAACATTAAGATTCTCAAAATTTGTCAAGGGTTAGGTGCCAACCCATGAGAATATTTAACTATGTTCGTGAATCTGTTGTTTAGTCACATGAAATCACAACGTCTGAATCAACTATTATTTATTTTACACAAATTGCATATTTTATAATTTATTAACCATAGACGTATCATCGGAAGGAGGACACCCAACAATTACTAATTACAAAATTAATCAAGGTTTATTTTTTCACCCTCCCTAAACGTTTTGAAAATATTTAAAAGGATTTGAAGCTATTGATAAATCATTTAATTTCATTATAGTCGTGATTATGTTTGGAGCTTAATATGAGATGTTCTTCTTGCCCATGAAATGCGATCATGCTTTAACTACATACTTCGTCTAATTTAGAAGCCAACCCATGAGAATATTTAATTATATTCGTGAATCTTGTTTATTCAAATTTGGAATCTTAACCACAACCTCTGAATCATCCTTTTATATATATATATAAATTTATACATCTATCACTAATTACAAAACAAGACTAATTTTTAAATGTATACTTCCCTTTTATTGTTTATATTTTGTGGCAATTAAGATTGTATTAGATTTTGTACAATTTCTTCTGTCACTCGAAAATTGAAATAAAAATCTAACTTTGAAAATTAAAGTACAAATCTAACTCAAAATTCTATATTTAACTTAAACGGACTAATTTAACAAAAAATTTCGGGATACCTCCCCTTTAAAAAAATTTCCTTTTTCGCCACGCTTCTGTTATCAATTATTTTATCATACGAATGCAAAGCACTTACTTTAAAATCACCTTCAATCTCGGGATCTTTACTCCAAGACGTAGAATTTGCTTCGATCATTTTATGAAAAAGGAAGAAGAAAAAAAAGTCTGGCAATTGAAATGCTGTACCACATTTTATAAAGATTTTAGTTTCCGTTAATATAGTCTCTCTTAGGTGATATGTTTTTAAAACGGATATAATGTTTTAGGTTATTAAAAGCATGAAAAAACGATTTTTTTTTAAAGTTACATTTGAACCATTCCATTTCAATCAACGAAATAATTCGTTGTAAAGCAAAACTTTTTATCATGTCGGAAGAAAATACTGAAAAAATCACTTTCATTTTGCCAACACTACAAAAATTAGGCTCTTTTCAAATAGCCGAAGAACCGGCATCATCAATGCTTGAAAGCATTTACTGGCAAACGCTTGGTTGGGTTCACACGCCTTCTTTCAAAGGCATTGATTTGAGAAAAACGCATAGCACCTTATTAGTTCCAGAATCAAAACTTGTCACTGATTCGTCACGGCTTTATTTTGATAAAAGCTTTCGTCCTAAAATACAAGTCGAGAACAAAGTACCATACGGAGTTCTTCCGAGAGAAATAGCAGAAGAAATTTTTAAAAGACGAATCGCTAAACAGGATTTGAACACCATTCTCAGCGAAATTGGCTTGGAACCCGATATTATTCGCCCACCTTTATTGTATTACAAAGATAAATTTTGTTTTCTGAAAACAAGTTTTGATGAGGGAATCCAAATGGAACCTTTCCTTCCTCTCCATTTATTTGATGACGAATGGTATTATGAAACGCGATCGCCTGAAGAATGGGTGACTTTAGGACATTCTGATACCGAAAAAAGACCAGTTCCTGCTACTGCATTTATTCCAGAAGAAACGGAACAGCAAAACAAACATTTTGAATGGCAAAAGGTAGCAGTTTTAGATTACTACGAAGAAAGAAAATTATATCGAGTTAGGAAAGAGACAAACTGTGAAAAACATGGAAGCGTTCTTATCAGCAAGGATGAAAGTTTAGATTTATGGGTGCACCGCATTTATTTAAAATTCGAAGCTGAAGATCCAATTAAATTTGTAAGACGATTGTATAATGCTGTCACTTGTAGGCATTTGGTAGAAGAAAGCTTACGGCTCAATTATTATGTTGATTGTATGCCCCTAGATAAAATTCCTGGCTGGTCGCCGAAAGACGCTGATGAAATTCTTTCGATCACATTAAGAAACTCTCAGTTACATCAAAGCAATGGGTTAGAAATTTGCAAAATGCAATTAAATTACGAATTTAAAAGAACATCCAATCTGATAAAATACATGAAAGTTACAAGTCAGGATCCCAATTTTTTGAAAGAATTTAAAAGTGCGCAATTTCGAAATATTAATGTTCCACATACGACTGGTTCTTTAGTAAAATTAGAATATTCATTTAAAAAAAGATTAGAGAGCTTCGAATGCTATACCCTGTGGAATCAAAAAGAAGTAGTACGGGTACTACAATTAGTGCAAATCGAGATATTGAATTTATATGATAAATCTCTTTATAGCGTACCCACTGACGCTTTAGCCATTGAACAATATGAGATTCTACAACGAACAGAATTAAATAATATGGAAGAATATATCCGTGGTCCATGGATAACTAATATTGTTTTTGCTGTTGAATCAAATATTTGTAAATGTGGAACTGGATCTTATGATGTGAATCAGACTCGTTTGCACACTTTTCAGCTGACGAAACTTGGCAAGTTGTTGAAACTGATTACTTTTAAAATGGAGGATGTAATTCGTTCCTTAGTTAACAACTCATTGCGGAAGTATTCTGAAAGGATAGTAGAAGCTTGTGAAAGTTTAGTAGGTATGAAAGAAAACTTTAAGTGGTCCGATGGATTCTTTAGTGAGAAATTTTCTCCTACTTGTACCCCAGTGTTTGAAGTAGCCTTGGAAGTAAAAGGACAGCATCTGAAGTATATTGTTGACCTTAAAAAACATTTAGACGTAGTTATAGAGTTATTTGAAGAGGGACTTCACGTCACAAAAGATTTAGAAAAAATACAAAAATTAGTCATGAAAAGGTTATTATACGATCCACTTGAAAGATTGAACACAGTTATGAGCACTGAAGAACAAATATCGCAGTGGAGGAAGCTCATAATTTCCGGTTTGTATAATTTTCTTTTTCTTGTAAAACCTTCTCGTAATCACCGCCCCTCTAATATGCATTTTTTAAAATCTATATTAAAAAGAATTTTTAAAGAAAATGTACACACATTAGTAGGGGCTTCAAATAAATATTTAAGTAAGAAAAAAAAAAGAAAAACACAATCAAGACCTAGCAAATCACTATTGAGGAAGGCGAGATTAAAATATCAAAACAATTTTTGATAGTAGGATGTAACATGAAAGTGTTTTTGATAATTCTCTTTCAACTGTTATTTGTTTCTTCAGGCAATCAAACGGATTTCGATCATTTTTTCTCGGCTTCCTCGATAGTGATTCATTAGATTTCTGATTGGTCTTTTCTCCCTTTTTGAATATTAATTTGCAACTCGTCACGAGTTATTTTTTATGTTAATTTTGACATGGAATCTAAAGAATATAAATTTAGGGTGGTGATTACGGAACATCTTGTATTTTGAGGATAAGGTTCATGTTGTTAATTTAATATAAAGACGAAAAAATCGCGACTTGAATTATTTAGAAAAAAAGCGTTTGTGTTTTAAAAATTTTTATATTTAGTGATCTCTTCGCGTAAAAAAGGAGCATTCAATTTATCATTGTAAACCAACAACGCGTCTGTATTAGCTACACATGAGTTATACACATAATGATGTTTTAAGACTATACAAGAAGGGTCAAATTATCAGCTCTTATTGAAACGAAAAGAAAATTATTGAGATTGCTAATATGATATAGGAATTGCTTGAAGTGTTAGGGTAGTGTTTTGAAATCTGAGAAAGAAGTAAATGAACGAATGAACCAATCTTTTCGCATAAAACGTGTGGTCAAAAATTGATCTTAATTTTGAACGACGATAATTAATTAAGGTTCAATCTTAAAAAGGAGAGCCGGGATCCTTAATAAAGAAAACTAAAATCGTTTTATAACTAGTCCTATAAAATGTATATGAAATTGAATATTTTTGTTACACATCAGGAAAGCATAAGTAATTTCACAAATAAATTAAATAAACATAATTCTTCAATAAACAGATCATAAGAAAATTTGAGCTCTTCTCGATATTTTATATAATATAATAATATCGATATTAGTAATTTATTATATAATATTTTTGCTAACTCAGTTCTGTATATGTGAAGTGTAAAAACATGCAAACGAAATTTCGAAAATATTCCGAGTTACTGGAAATTAAAATTTTTTTTTTTTAATTTCTCAATTGAGCTAAAAAGACAATAACAATTTAGGCCGCTCAAAACAAAAAACGTAGAACACGTCACTTAGCTATCTTAATAAGCTTAATCTTCAATCACTCCCGGACATTTCCCTTACGGTTTTCATAAGTGATGCTCCCTACTTTTTACACAGTTTTGAGAAAATGAAAAGCGTTTTGAAGTCTAATTGTTTAATATTTAAAAATTTTCTCCAATGCTGTATTATCCGGGCTCATAAAAAATTGTAAAAAATGATAAGGCATTGATTTTGATAATTTTTATCTAGGTAGAAAAATGCCGCCAAATTGGCAATTTTTAAAAAATTTAAATAACTTTTGAAATATTTCAGTAATTTGTTCTTTATGGCAAATATAGTTTAAAATTATAGCTTTGCTCCAAGTGATTGTGACGTGGCGAAAGAGTTTCGAAAAACCATGTTTTTATCATTTCTTAGAATGCGCGATACTCTATTTCTGTTTTAATTTTTTGACAAAACATTTTATTGGTATAAAAATAAAAACTTTTTTTAGGTATGAGGAATGCTATTATAGTTGCTACAGCTTATGCCAAATCTTATGACAATACGTTAAAAGCCTTCAAAGAAGATCATATCAATTACGTTAAACGTTTGTCACGGTCTAAAGTTACATGCGAGCAGTTAAAGCAGATAACAGAAATGCACTACAAAGAAAAAACAGAATTATCAGACACCATACCCACTTTCATAGATATAGGTCCTTTCCGCCTATTAACAAGCGCTGTTCGCACGACAGCTATTAAAAAACACGAGCAACTAGCCAGGGCTGTGTTAGAATACTTTTATGAAAAGCTCAGGCAGAACATGGAGGCTATAAATGACCAGTTCTTAGTCTTGATAGACAGAATTGAGCAACAAACTGGAAATATTGAAGACCTTTTGGAAAAAAAGTTATGGTGTAGAACGGTGCCAAAGAAAATCGAAAAAATTTGCTTAGATGTTAACAGATTGTCAGAGGACTGCAAACTCATTGCTTCATTCAATAGGAATATGGATGACGAAGACGTCAATATCTATTGGAGAATTATGGTGAGTTTAGCAACGAAATTTTTAACCACACCAGAACTTTTTCTTTTTTGTTTGAAAAGAAGAAGAAAAAAAAACATAGTCTCTTTCACTTAAATATTGCTATGCAATCTTTTAAGAGCAAGGTTTTTGTAATAAATTTTTTATAAGGGATCTAAAAATATATAAAAAGCGGTCATTACCGAACATCCTGCATAGACCATTTCTAAGGGACTACCAATATACTACGTCTCCAAGCATTTTGAAATTAATTATCAGCCTTAGTTTACGGATTAATGCGTGTTTTTATAAGGAGTCTAAAAAAAGAAGAAGGCATTAATATTTCTAAATGGATAACGTTAAAACGTTTTCATAAATTTAAATTTCGATCTCGTGTTCCAAAAACTAAACTACTTATGGCTGTAAAACAAAAGCTTATATTACAAGAATGAAATTACTCAAATCAAGATTGTTTATAGGATAGGATTTGGAGAATTGGATAAAGATGTTATTTAGTGACGAAAGTATGTTATGTGTATCGTACGGAAATCAAGGCGTTCGAGTTAAGAGGATGAATCAAGAAGCGTTTAATAAATAGTTCCTGAAACGGTCTGTAAATTTGTAGCTAGTTTGGGGATATGGAGTTGCATGAGCGCAAATGGACCTGGGAGGTTATGCATCCTCAAAGAAAAAGTCAATTCAGATATTTATAGAGAAATTCTCGATCCCTGTGTAGATCCTTTCTGCAAGGCTTCTAATTCACAACTTCTCCGCATTGTTTAATATTTAATCATCAACCTTAAGTTTACGAACTATAGAGCAAGTTAGGTCCAAAACAGTGAAGCAAAACACACAGTTTGGTTGAAATTTTTTTAAATTAACTTTATCAATTTTGTAGAATGCATATCATTTGTCTATCGGTTTTCCTTTTGTATTAAAACTTCTCAATTTTGTATATAAAACACTCATAAGACAACTGTAATTCGCGTCACAACAATAATTGATTTAATTTTCTAACATTACGCAGAATGATTAAAAGTAAGAATCAGGGATGAGATTAGCCAAAAGGCAAAAAAGCTGAATTTCCACGATAGTAAATTTTACGCAAGCGCAACCCTTTACTAATAAATTCCAGACAGTTTAAGGTAATAAATAATGTGTTGACATACAATTGTGTACTAATCTATTATTATATAAATGATTACATTGATATTTAACATTTAGTGAAAATAAAAATTACCAATTGAAAAAATAAAGCTGGAATTGAAAAATAAAGCTACCTCAGTTCACATGAGAGACAATTATTACTTGAAAAACTACCTGGTTTAGCAAATAAAAACTACTGAGAATTTACATTAATATTTCATTTCTTTTAATAAATACTGTTATGTGATTCATAGCAAATACATCAATACAAAAAGGCGTAAATACGAATCACAATATCGGATTTTTAAATCTCGTAAATAAGAATCGCAACATACAATATTCAAATCGCGTGAATAAGAATCGCAACACGCAAATATGAAAAGCTTTGTTTGATATTAAAATTGTGTGAATAAGATCAAGATATTAGCAGATTCCAGGCTTGTGAGAAGCAGCGTCGTTTGAACTACAAAAATCAGATCTATCTGGAGGGCGGGTAAAAAATTCGGAAAATCTTATCTGCTGCGAGTAAATGGAGACAAAATAGCTAAAATTAGTAAAAATGAGAAAGGATTGATAGCTATGTAGTTTGAATCTTCTGTTTCTCTTTGAAAATCGGTGAATTTTCTGAAAAAGCGGAATACTTATTAAAAAAAGTGAAATTTTTAGAAAAATCTGAATTTTTGATAAAAAAAAAAAGCTGAAATTCAAGAGATAAAAGTGAAAAAAGCGGAGATCCGCTAAAAAGCGGAAAAATCTCATCCCTGAAAAATGGTTTTTCGAAGTTAAATTTTTCTCTTAATTTATCAAACATTAATTTAACAAATATCTCCTATTTAATAATCTTTTCATTAGCTATTTATAGTCGTTCCCATTTTTGCAGTTTATAAAAAGAATAATTATTGAGATGCAGCAAACAGCTAAAATGCTGGATCAGTATATGTTTACAGTCATCATCTGTACTAAAGTAAATGGCTGGCCTGCAGTTGAATCAGCAAATATAAAGGCCGTCAGCTGGCCATTCACCACTTTAAAACTTTCTATTTGTTGGTAAGCTAACATAAAGAGGGCGATTACTTATCACATTTCAAAGAGTTGTTACTAAATAAACAAAGTAACAGCTAGTAATCCGTGAGCTACAGCAACATCTAGGCAACTTAATACCGATGTTGGTCAATGACCATCTGGGAGTGAATTCAACTCCCTAATGAAAATATTGAGAAAAAGCGATTATTTTTACAAATAAATTAACAAAAAACTTATTTCTGGGCATACCATATACCATCCCATTATCAGACAATCGAAACATCTTGTCTTTAAGGATAAATTTAAAAAAGTATTTAGAAGGGTATTTAAATGTAAATAATTCCTAGGATGTCTTTTTCGAACTATCTCTAACAAGTGATATTATAGGCAATAAAAAGTTAATTATTTTATTTTTAAAATAAGAATTTGTTGTTTATAAATTATAACTAAGACATTTTTTAGGAACTGCCACAAAAAACAATGAACATATTGAACAGAAGGATGAGCGAGTTTGACAATGAAAGAGACATACACAAAGAAAATTTAAAATTTGACCAAGAAAAACTCAAGACAGGCATAAGGGATCTCCAACAAGAAATACAGCTCCTTGAAGATAAATTCGACACTAAAAAAGCGTCAACTATAGCCGCCGATGTTCGCAGGCTTCGAAAAACCTTGAACACTTACCAAGAACATGCTCAATTGTTCAACAAGCGAGAAAAACTCTTTGGTCAAGACCTCACTGAATATCCAGAGATCGAAAACATTTCGAATAATTTAGTACCTTACGAGCTTTTCTGGTTGAGTACTGCAGAATTTCATAAGTATCGTGAACGCGATCTTTTGGATCAGCTGGCCTTGGAGCCTGCTCAATTAATAGATTCAATAACGGAATTTCGCACAAACCTAGAAAACAGCTTAGAGTATTTCACTTCAGATATTAATCCTAAAATAAACGAAGCTGCGATAAGAGTTATAGGCGAGATAGATGAATTTTTGAGGAGTAAGATGGAAGAATAAATTTCTACTATGTATATGATTATTATTTGACTTTTGGCAGGTTTTTTTATTTTAAAAATAAAAAATATATGGACAAACTAGACTCATCACTGTTGAGTCTTTTTTAATGCAAAGGAGGCATATAAAAAGTGCATAGAACCGCAAACGGAGTTTCAAATTAAACGTTCAAACCTTTGATGTGTTGCTCATGTAGAATCGTCTATGACATGCATGCAAAGTCCAGGGTCTGATTGGTCATAGACCTGGAATCGCTATTACAGTCCTTATATCCATTTAAATAAAAAAAATGTATTGGAAGAAAAGAGTGAAGTTTTTAATTTATTATCTTAATTTTATTGTAACTTGTTTCATTATCATTATGAATAAAAATTTATTGTAAAACTTCATATGTAATGAATCAGAGTGGAAACATTAAAAAGCGTAATTATTTAAATCACTAAAAGGCGCTACATACAAATGTAATGTTTGCTTTAACAGCTTGCCTCCCCCCCCCCTTCGTGGATGTTTAGGTAAGAAAGAAAAAAAAATCCAAAAATCCATCAAGTAAAAAAAAAAAAAAAAAAAAATTCCAAGGTGTCCTTCAAAAAAATTTCAATGAAAAATGACACTTGAACTTCGTATTCATGAATTATGAAACTAACTACATACTTGTTTCTTTCTATGTATTTTAGATAACGTTGCTAAGTACAAACAAAATAAAATTCGATGATTTGTAACAACAGTTTGAATTTTTATGATAGGGCATTTACTACGTTAATAAAAAACATTTTTTTAAAAATGAAGCATAAAGCATTTAGTTTGTTAAAGAATAATTTAAATTTCCAATAAACTTCGAAAATCAAGAAATCCGCAACAGTTTTTTTTTAAACAATTCTTTAAAATCAAATGAAATACAGTATAAATAATTCGTGTATATACTTAATTCTCTCTAGCGGCTTTTAGTTATGTGTCTAAAAATTAGTTGACATTGGAAAGTAGTCGAAATTTCGATTGGTGATTAATTTTATTTATTGATAAATTTTCCTTGCAGCAATCAAGAAATAATTGTAACTAGCATTGTCCTCAGCACTGAGTTTCAGTAAAAAACTAATTACTTTTGCTAATTAAAAAATGGTCGAAATTTCGATTGATAAATTCTATCAGATGATAAACTCAGCTTGTAGTGGCCAGTAATGTCACTATGCACAGAGATCCAGTTTGAATAGGATAAATTTAGCTCGTCGGAAAGTGGTTAAAATTTCTGTTAACAATAAATTCTGCTTGAGGTGATTAGAAAAACAATAGAAATTTTTTGATTCGTTATCGGATAAATTTAGACCCATATGTCTTAACCCTTTAAACTATGTTTAGATACAGGAAAACTATAATCTAAACTAAATACATTAATCTATAACTAAATAATTCAAATACAGGCACAAAATTTTATTCACAGTTTTAGATAAAACACATATTTAAATTACAAACTTAGTTTAGTAATAAAAGCAGCTCTATATGTCCATTAGTCTATAAGAAAAATAAAGCGTTGACATGGACAGGTATAAAGTTTACTAATAACATAATTAACAAAAACAGTTTATGCTAGAATGCAATTGAAATAAGGTAAACAGTTAATAATCTTTTAACACTTAAAGCACTGGAAGCTTACAAATATGATTTAAAGTTTAATTTTTAAAGATATGTTTAAGAAAATAGCTATCAACTGCCTCAATCTTATATTTATCTCAAAGCAAAGTGTAAAACTATCAGCAAAGTATTACACTTTTTTCATGTTTTTATAAGTACAATAAATTAAAGCACAAAGATCATAAAACAAACAAATACATAAATTCGAAATAAAGCTCAAAGAATCATTAAATATTGATTATACTATCAAAGGCAGCTTCAAATAACGGAACAAGCAAATATAATGAACAAATGTAAAAATTAAATTTTGTAGTAGTTTTTCTACTGAGAAAATCTTTGATATGCTTTATTTAAATGCAAAATAAAAAAATGCAAAAAAAAAAAAGCCAATATTACAAGTAACAAATTTGTATTAAATGTGGTTAAAAGTATTTACTTTTAAAAAACTAGGCTCTACATGTTTTTTTTTCTTTTTCAGAAAAAAATAATCTTTTTATAAAATGCGCCAACTTTTTTTAAAAAAATGACAACACTTTAATAATTAAGAAGGTTTTTATGCATATCATTGACTATCTAATAGAAAACAACACAGTAAAAAAATAGTTCGAAACCAAAACAAATGTTGATTATATATATCAGCAACGAGTGATTCTAAAGATAGTCTAATACATATTTCTTTATAGGTTAATAACATAAACAATATCTGAGCCACAATGTAATTCATTAAAATTAAAATAAGCTCCAGGAGAAAAAAATGTACGTATAACATGGCAACATAACAGACATGAGATAAAAAATAAAAGAAAAACTGAAATTAAAAGTTTAAATGTATAAAAATTACTAACTAATAAAGCAAAGAAAAATAACTTTGATTACTTAACAATTAAAACACTGGAAGTAATGAATACTCCATTGTATAGCTTATGTTGACGCCAGAAGCGCCATCTGTGAAAATTTAGTGTGTGCAATGAATCTGAAGAGCTCGGATGTGAGAAAAGTGCGTTGCTCTAAATGAGTTATGTTAATTAAGTGTTGTGTTTGATTATTACAGTCCGCTTTTATTGATTTTTGAGAACATTTTTTATTATATCGAGAATTTATGTGAAACTGAGCTATCGTCGGACCCAGCTTAATAAATAAATAATGATTACTATATAAGTTTCGTGTTTATGTTCTTAACATTTAAACTCCTGAGGAGTTTACAGCCGTTTTAGTTTACAGTTTAATTCTAATTTAAATAGTAATCTTGTTGTCTTATATTTTATTTAATTAAAATTTTCTAAAAAAATAATAGCATTATTAATTACTACATATGAAACTGAACTTTTATGACCTTAATTTTTCCAAAATAAAGCTTTTTCTAAAGGTAGTTCAATGATTTCTATAAATACTTCTTTGCTGTATTTTTAGTATTTATTCTTAATTTTAAATAGTTTTAGTTATTTTTTATACTTAAATGTTTTTAAGTAACTTACTTCTTTCTTTTTTTTAAAAAAAAATATACATATATATTATTAAGTAATTAGGTTAAATCTATATATTTACCCTCTGATATTTCTGGAAGTGAAAAGCTGCATTTCGATTTTTTCAATTTCTTATAAATTGTTTTAACTCATGTTATTCATATAGAAAAACAAATTATATAGGAGAAACTATTGTGAGTTTCCAAATTTTAAAGAGAACCAGAAAATTAATGAAAGTCATAATCAAGTACAATATTAGCTAGATACTTCAATAAAAATTTGAAACCAACCATTTTTCAATGATATGCTGCATGCAATAAATATTTTGGTTAGGCTACCTCAAATAAATGTTTAGTCAGGCAACGTCGAATCAAATTTTTATAATTAGGCTATATCATTAAATTTTTTTAATTAGGCTGCATCAAAGAAACTTCGTAGTTAAGCTGCATCAATTACATTGTTAGTTAGGGTGCATAAAATAATTTTCTTCGTTAGGTTGCATAAAAAATTTTTAATGTTAGGCTACATCAATTATATTTTTAGTTAAGATACACAAAATAAATTTCTTAGACTGGTTTATTTTTCTGTCAGGTTGCATTAAATAAATTTTTAGGTGCTGCAATTTAGAAGTTATAATAATTTGACTCTTTTGTAAACAATTCTGTTAGTTATAGTAATATGTTTCATAAATATCAAATAAAATTATTTAGCAAAATTGCGAAGATTACACCCCACAGTACTTAATCATTCAAGATAGTTAATTGGGCATTTGAATGGATTAAATTTAATTAAAACTTATGGCAAAGCTAATTTTAAAAAATTCATTAAAATGAATTATAAATAGTGCAGATATATTAATAATTTAATACAATGCTATATACAATGAAAACTGCTATTTAGAATGAAAATTTCATTTCAATAGAGTACTAGCACAAACTATTCACAGATAGAGCTAAGGGGGGGGGGATATATAACAAGTTAAAATTACAGCATATTTTAAAATAGTCACTTTATAAAACAATAAAAGATAGTGAAAATACTTTGTCCTAAATGTAAAGGTGAAAATGGTATGCTTAAATGCTAAACATTAAAATAGATAACAAAACACTAGGGAAAAAATCACAATTTTACTTTAAAAGAAAGGTATAAAAATGGTTATAGCTTAGAAATTCAGTATACACTAAAACTTTGTACAATCTAATATAAACTTAAACTCTAATAATAACATTAACAATTACTTATGCTGTCATAATTCACATAAAAATATTCTACCACTACAAAATTTTAAAAATTTGTTTTTCGTTGGCTAGTATAAAAGAGAAGCAAACCAAGAATTACTTTATAATGTTAAAAATAAAGCACATATAGTAGGTGTATTTTGAGCAAAATCTGTTTCTCTTTGATGCAGTTAATGGTCGAAAAGGATTCATGGCAGTAAATTTCTATTAGCAAAAATGTTCATAGGATCAACGCTATCCTTCACTGCTTTCAACATTTGTACTCCAATGTCTGATACTGTTTGCTGCATCCATTTTTTACGCAATTTTCCAACTAAAATTAGAAGCATTTTAATTCACATTAAATATGAATGCTATTTATACTAATAAAATACGGAATTAAATGTAAATAAATTGTTAAATTATCGATGATATCTCAAAAAATTTAAAGAGATGGAAAGCACATGAGGTACAGCCTTAAAAGCACATTACTGTACAACATTAATCTTCACGGAATTATCAAAATTGAGAAAACTTGCATCTGAGGTAAAAATGCCGTTACATTACGAATCTTTAAATTATGACCTATGGTTATGGGTAATAGTTTCATCACAGTTATTTTGCAAACTGATTTAATATGACCAAACAATAAGGCAACAACAATCGACTTTTCGAGGGTCAATCGTAATCGACTTTTTGAGGGTCAACAATCTACTGGATCTTGTCTGACTTCATCAGACAATTAGAGGATAAGAAACAACAACAAACAATAAGGCTGTTTTAAGGGCCTCAATATAAAATTAACTGTGGCACAAAACACACACAAAAAAACGAATCCTATTTTCATATTTTGTAGAATTTATTCAAAATTGTAGTTTTTATAATATACAATTTTCTTCATTTTTTCTTTTAATGAAAAAACATTACAATTGTTTGCATTTGATTTAGACCAGACATTCAGCAGTTCCGGGCCTGGCACAATTGCCAATGCGCCCCCTTCAGAACGGCCTTGGAAACATTAACTGTTACACATAATGAAATTAAACTCCTAATGAAAATGTAGTTGGATCAAAATGACTTGGAAAATGCTTGAAACAGTTCCAAAACTGTGAGAAATCAGTTGTATTTTTTAAATTTTTAAACAGATAAGTCAGAGATGAAACAACATTCCTCTAAATAAAGCCTCTGCTAATTAGGTTTGGCCTTGAGACTTAGGGAAGGAGCTTGTGTGGACCATAAGCTGAAAAGTTTGAGGACCGTTGTTCCACAATTTGGTCTAGATCCGACACCCCCAGACTCTACCATTTCTACTAGCCCCAAAACAGAAATTGTGAATATATTTAAGATAATTACAAAATAGGATAAGATTACATCTTAATAGTAAACAAAAGCATTTGTTTTCCTAAGTAGATAAAGAAATATTTTATATGAAAAAAAAAATAGAAGAGTCATTATCTGATGCATGAAAGAGTCATTCAAAACTATACACTAAGTATACATATTTGAGATTTTTGTGCTAATTACATTAAAAAAAATGAGCAGTAAATTAATTAAAAACATAAGAATAGAAAATATGAATTATTAAATATGAATAATCATAAAATAATATGAATAATTAGTTAAATAACGGATAAATAAAAAATATAAAAAATAAAAGCTGATTAGCTACCTCCATGATGATGGGATATGCTACCTCCACAAGCAATGATTTCATCTCTTGCTGCACTCTATAATTATTTTTAAAACAATTATGAAATTGCACACATAAGTATATATATATACATAAAAAACTTATTTAAATTGTTTTACTAAATGCAATATCTTATAGTGAAATTTTGGTAGATAAGAATAAAATCTTTTTGCCATCTTTGTAAATAAAAAGTTGATTAAATTAAACAATTTATTAAAAAAAAATGAATAAATTTCAAACTAAAAACTTATTATAAATATGCACTTTAATATTTTACAGACACAATATTAATGAACCAAGTATTTGTACAATATAATGGTAATGATAAAGCAACAGATAGGTATGCATATTTTTTTAAGGAATATAATAAAGAGAGTATAATATAATAAAGAGAGTATAATATAATAACAATATATATAATAATATATATAATAATATATGTAATTTATTATACAACCTCATACCTATTAAACTATAATTCAGAAAAATTGCGAAAATATTCTGGCTAGTGGATTTTTTAGGGGGGGAGGAAAGGTGCAATTTTTGTTAGAAGATTTTTATAAGTTGTAAAAGCTAAGATTTATAATTCATATTACATACAACAAACACTAAAAAAAAAGCAAGTTATAATAATTTGTTGTCATTCAAAAAATTAGTACTTATTTTTTTTAACGTTATTTACATGGCATTTAATGTCAGCTCAAAAGTATATGCTAACATACCATCAAACATTATATTACAAACATAAAAAAATTAAACTGCATTTCACTATGATACTTTGTTTCCCGGTAGTGTTTCAAATTGTTTTCACAGATTTTTAAATGTAAGTAAAATGTAAGATTGAAAAGAGACAGTTAAAGATATTTTCAAAAGATAACAAATCCTCTGAACATCAGTCATAGTTTTTTCTTTTAATGATTTAGATGCAGGCCTTCTTGTATCAAAAAACAGGTTTCACAAATTTACACAAAGGCTCAACGCATGGATGTTTAAAAATATTAATATTTTTCTTTGTGTTAATGCAAACATTACTTACTTCAATGCTTTCATATGTATGCACAGGATCTGCAATACCCTGATAGCTAAAAGCAAAGTAGAAATAAACACAAGCCCCAACGTCATATGACTGAGTGACACGACAAGAGGCAAAAGGTGGAGATTTTATCCCATGCTTTTGACATTCCCTGTGGATTCTGTCTTTCACATTACGGCACAAATCAGTTACCCTACAATATATTCAGAATCGAAAGCTTTTAAATTTTTGAAAACAGTCAACCATAAACAATGACAAACAACTCAGAGATATTTACATTTTTATACAGACAAAATAAGAGGTATTTAAAAGATTAATGATACTTTTCATGTAATAAATTAAACAGATGTTTAAAAAATCGAAATGGCATTGTTACCATAAAAAATATACAAATTATAATTTTTAGCATTACCTGTCCCAGGGAACTGCTGTTTCAAATGATTCTGATACAACTCCGTGTTCCAAACCTATGTCCTATAGTAATAAATTTTAAAAAAATCTCAGGATACAAAATGATTGCATGAAAACTAACTAAATATATGTATATGTATATATTGATAATTATTTATTAAAGTAACTGCAGTTGATTTCAGGAATAATTAACAAAAAAAAACCCATCTACGAAGACATTAGATTTAATGTATTATGTACCTAGATGGAAGAATTAAGTAGAAGTTATTATGCAACAATCATATTTACCTTAACAAAGAGATGAAATTCAAAATAAGAATATTTATTTATAAGAGATATAATATTCAATTGTCTAGGTTAGTGTATATATATATATGAAGAAAGAGGAAAAGAACTGCCTCTCATCCCTTCTTCTGCCGCCATCATTCCAGCGCCACAACTTCCCCCCGCTCCACCACCATTCCTTTTTTTTATTGAAAGAAACAGTTTTCGTTAGTTTCTGGAAGAATTGACTTCATAGCCCAGCTGGGGCTTATACTTGCGAAAACGGGGCAGGACGGCCCATATTCTTGCTTATGATAACAGGGCAGATGGCCCATATTTTTCAATTTTCATAATTCTTCATAAAAATTTCATATTTCATCATATATGTAAATTCATTTTATTATTAGATATTACAATCATAGAAAATAGCATTATTAAATATTACAACCATAGAATTCATTCCTCAAAAATCCCACATATATATATATACACACATATATAGGCAATGTATGCTTGTATTTAGATCAAATGCAGACAACATTTCGGAGCAGTGTTGGCCAACCAATGGTCTAGGTAGTATGTTTAAAAAAAATTTCTTGTGAAGCCATTGCCGAAAAAATTGGCTTAGTTCTTGTTTGCCAGACATATGGTAGTTCTGGTATAAAATAATATTAATATTAAAACTTATTTCAGTAAAATCATGCATAGAAATTCTCAACTGATATTTTCCTTTTCTTCTAGCTTGCCAATTAATCACACGAAAAATTTACATTTCAGATAATCTATAAACAATAAAAATGTGTACATGTCTTGTTATTTTATACTTGAAGGCTTGAGATAATATAATGATAAGTCACATTTTTCCAGTTGTTACACCTCTAGGTCAAACTGTTTCTTTGAGTTGCATTCAAAATAACACTTTACAAGTATATAGATTTATACTGGATAACAGCACAATACTGATTTCCCATGTAAAAATCAATGTATTTTAACCTACAACTCTTTAAAAATACTTTCTAGATAATTTGAAAAATGCAACTTTTAATTATATTACCTTAAGTTTTTCAATTATATCATCAAATCCAGATTGCTTTACTTTTACTTTGATAGATATGTACAGTATAGAACCCGTTATCCGGAAATCAGAAAACCGGAAAACCAAAAAACCGGAACGAAATTCAATAAATTTTCCCGCGATTTTTTTTCCTCATAAAGATTTTAGGATTTTTCTTTCTTTTTTGAAAGATGTTTACCTTACCATCATTTTGGAAATAATTATTATACAATTAATTAT